CTTGCACCCTCAGCCTCTGCAGGACTCTCCCAAGCGCTTTGACGTGGAGGTCTCGGTGTTGGGCTCGCAGGTCTTCGATGGCGGCGTGCATTACTGGGAGGTGGTGGTCTCGGACAAGACGCAGTGGATGATCGGACTGGCCCACGAGGCCGTTAGCCGCAAGGGGAGCATCCAGATCCAGCCGGGAAAAGGCTTCTACTGCATCGTGATGCACGATGGGAACCGCTACAGCGCCTGCACCGAGCCCTGGACTCGGCTCAACGTCAAGAGCAAGCTGGAGAAGGTCGGCGTGTATCTGGACTATGACAAGGGACTGCTCATCTTCTACAATGCCGACGACATGTCCTGGCTATACACCTTCCGCGAGAAGTTCCCCGGAAGACTGTGTTCGTATTTCAGCCCCGGGCAGAGCCATGCCAACGGCAAGAATGTACAACCGCTACGCATCAACACCGTGCGGATATAGCCCTACGTACCCCCCCCCCCAATGCTGCTGCCTGTCTGGGGAGGGAAAGGAAGGGATCGCTTATATAGATAGAAATACAATTTCTCCATCATCCACCGAGGGACACAGGAATTCAAAAACAGTCGGGTCATACTGCCGCCTACAGCACGTTGGGACCATGGCAAACAGGAAAAGTTGTAAGCCTGCCCCCGTATAATCCCTCCTACTCCCTACACTGGTTTTTTTTCTGGTGTCCCAAGAGGTTGGAGGCCTTTCATTCAGGACAGAAGTCCAACTATCTGCTCCTCCTCCTACTCTTCTGGGGTCACGGGATGCCTTCCAAACCTGCCTATCCTTGTAAGGATGCCGGCCTTAGTCAGGCTGACTTCGGGGTTGGTACCCCGGGGGGGTACTTTTTGACTCTCCCTTGGGTGAGACGGGTCGCCGGGTCACACAGCCTCGTTGATCCTGGCCTCCTCCCTCGGTCTCCAGGGGTTGCGCCCTTCAGTTGTAGACGGGCTGGCCTCATCTTGTGGACCTGCGTTGTTGTCTGCGGTTCCCTCTGAGGATCTGGTTTTTGTTGAGCGTTGTTGGTCTGGTCATGCGGTTGCTGGTTACACCGGTTTTGTTTTTTTTTGGCCATCACCCTATTGCTGGGCTCGGTGTCCCCCTTCCGGTGGAGCCATTTCCCTCGGCAGTGGTCTCTCCTGTCCTGCTCTGAGCATCGGCGTGATCCTGTGCAGCCTTCTCTTGGCAGAGGACTTCCTCCGATTTCAGATTCTGGTATCCGTCCTCCTGGTAGACCTGCGTTGCAGACACTTCCTGGTCCCATCGGTGGTCCCATCGGTGGTCGTTACGCATCCCTCAGCTGGACTGCTTTTGGACGTCCAGACTGTAATTGAATGCCTGTGTCCATCAATGGATGATGGAGAATATAGGACATGGTCACACACCGTAGAATCTTTATCTCAGAGTCCATTGAAGGACGCCGCCCGGGGGTGGCCAATGAAACTATAGTAGGCGTGGATCAATGTGGCCAGACCCCGCCCCTTCAGGGCTAATTCCTATAAAACGGACACCAATGAAAGTATAGTAGGCGCGGATCAGTGTGGCCAGACCCCGCCCCTTCAGGGCTAATTCGTATAAAACGGACCAATGAAAGTATAGTAGGCGTGGATCAATGTAGACAGACTCCACCCCTTCAGGGCTAATTCCTATAAAACGGACCAATGAAAGTATAGTAGGCGTTAATCAATGTGGCCAGACCCCGCCCCTTCAGGGCTAATTCCTATAAAAAAGATGCGCCCAGCTCCAGCCAACAAACCTGTTCTGTTCTGGATGGGGGGAGGGAGGCCGTGCCGGGACTATTGCCGTCTGCACTACACAATCTCTCCGCCGGGGCCACAGACTGACATCGGGCAGACGTCTTCCCTATGCAAAGCTGAACTCCAGCCAGAAATACAAATATCTCCCCACGGCCTGCTCATGTCCCCCTAGAACGTCCCACGGAATCATGGAACCCGACGCGGAAGTCACGTGTGGCTGGAATGACGTGAGAGCAGGCAAGAATTGTCCCTCCAACCAGACAAATCTGAGAGCTCTCCGAGGATTGCCCCAGCTCTCAGGCTGAATCCAGCATCCTGGACAATCTCTTCCTCCAGTGGCTGGAGCTGCTGCGTGTGGGCGGAGTCAGCAATCTGCTCCCGGGTCATTCCACCCACATCTGATCCGCCTCCGGTGTATAGGGCGACTCTAGTCTGTGATTGGCTGCCCTTATCTCCGAGGGCAGTCCCATCTCGCCGATCTGTGCGGTGCAACAAAAGACGAGAATGTGACCCAAATAATGTGGGAGGTGTCAGAACGCCGCTGAGGAGCGTCACAATAAACTGTGAACTGGTTGTCTGTGTCCGTTTTACTGCAGGATCATTATATCCAGGGGGTCAGCGGCGCCCTCTAGAGGCTGCCAGTGTGTAGGGGTATTACAGTCAGTTCACTGCTAGGATAAGAACAATTGGCCGTGGCCCCTCCTCCAGGAAATAAGGAGTTCCTTCGGAGCGGGGGTTGCACACGGCTGACCTCTGTGCTTGGTGCAGCTCGATGCTCTATGGTAAAGTTCTAGTTGGGGCAAAACGTGGCAGAGAGGGGAGCGGGGTGGAGTGTCCCCAAGTGGACCGGAACAATAAAGTTGTTTTTATGCTGAACATTCAGAGTGCGGAAGCGAGGCCGCATCTGAAAGGGTGTGAAGGGCGTTACTTCTCCATATTAAACTGAAGCCGGCACACCGCGTCTCCTCCAACAATACTTTATTAACAATACATCTCACACACAAAAGTGACAATGGCGGAGTGCCGGCAATCCTGGGACGGGGGTTCCACAAGGCGTGTTGGTGGGAGGCCGTGGTATTATGGCACCACCCGCCGACACACCTCCATTGCGCAGCCATTCCTGCATGCAGATAGACGAGCTATTCACAGAAGGGTGGAGGGTTCAGAGGAGGCCGGAGAAGGGAACAATCCAGGACAACATTCTCCCATTCAGCTCACTTCCCAGCTCAGCGATGTCCTAGATTGTCCCTTCTCCGGCCTCCTCTGAACCCTCCACCCTTCCTAGATTGTCCCTTCTCCGGCCTCCTCTGAACCCTTCCTAGATTGTCCCTTCTCTGGCCTCCTGCGAACCCTTCCTAGATTGTCCCTTCTCCGGCCTCCTCCGAACCCTTCCTAGATTGTCCCTTCTCCGGCCTCCTCCAAACCCTTCTGTACATAGTTCTGAGTTGTATTCCAGTGTTGGGTGTGTTGGAGAGCGGAGTCCCCGGCCTGGAACAATAGTCTGGAACACAGTCAGAAGGGGCGGATTGTTTCCAGGTTCTGACTTGCTTGGAATCCCCTGCTGAGTGAAGGTCTCATTCTTGGAGGATTACTGTCCCTGGCACAGTGGGTAAGAGCACCGCCACACGTTGGGTTGTATAAAAGCTTTTAATAAATGTACAACAAATAAAATTCAGCAGATTCCACAGACATAAAAACAAGTAAAAGCCCAGGGGTAGGGACTAGGCTGGGAGCACGCCGTCTCTGGTCCTCCGGGGTGGAGGAGCTAGGCCGGGAGCGCACCGCATCTGGTCATCCGGGGTGGAGGAGCTGGGACGGGAGCGCACCGCGTCTGGTCATCCGGGGTGGAGGAGCTGGGACGGGAGCGCACCGCATCTGGTCATCCGGGGTGGAGGAGCTAGGCCGGGAGCGCACCGCATCTGGTCATCCGGGGTGGAGGAGCTAGGACGGGAGCGCACCGTGTCTGGTGATCCGGGGTGGAGGAGCTGGGACGGGAGCGCACCGTGTCTGGTGATCCGGGGTGGAGGAGCTAGGACGGGAGCGCACCGCATCTGGTCATCCGGGGTGGAGGAGCTAGGACGGGAGCGCACCGTGTCTGGTCCTCCGGGGTGGAGGAGCTAGGACGGGAGCGCACCGCGTCTGGTCCTCCGGGGTGGAGGAGCTGGGACGGGAGCACACCGCGTATGGTCCATCTGCGAGCGCTATTTCCCGGACGCCTGCATCTGTTTACAGAATGCTTCAAACTGCTGCTGCTCCAACTCCGTCATCACCTTGTTCAGGGCGTAGATCTGAAATAAAGAGGACCTGTTATGTGCACAGCTCCGGGATATCTGATCAGCATCACATCAAACACGGGAACAGAACTCATCAGAATATAGCTGAGAGGAAGATTATGTGCAGCACACCGCTGATTTCCAGTGGATGAAGGAAATGGTCGGCCTGAGGCGGCGCCTCTATAAATCGCGTGCGGTGTGATGATTGCGACTTCTCCCCAATGATTGGCTGCTGCATAGTACCACAGTACACCATCCCTAGTACTCCAACCACAGTACACCATCCCTAGTACTCCAACCACAGTACACCATTCTGACCACATCTGATCTGTGGTTGGAGCACTATGGGTGGGGTACTATGGGTGGCGCAGTATGGGTGGGGTACTATGGGTGGCGCAGTATGGGTGGGGTACTATGGGTGGCGCAGTATGGGTGG